GCACACTTCAACATACGATCCACTATGGGAAAAAGATACCTTATTTAATATTTGCTATTTCTCTTGTATCACAAATGCCTCAAGTATTTTTAATCTTTCTTTTCATTGAGTCGAATGTAATATTTTGAAGTTATCTAATAAAATTTGATTTATATTATTATCATTTTCCTTAGACGTTTTGTGATTATCTATATATGCGCAAATTGAACTAAATTTCATTAAATAACAAGTCAATCTACGCGTGTGGTGCATGTAAGAATTTAATGCTGTTTGTTGATTGTTAATGTTACAGATACAATCTCCTAATGCACAGAGGAATTCATAAAGTACATTATTTTTTTTTACATAGAGTGGGTTTTTGAGCTGATAAATGATTTCTAAGAATTAGATTAGTTGTTCTGAAAGTTTTATAATTAATTATACATCTAAGGTACCCAAAAGTTGATCAAATGAGCAAATAATATTTTGAAAGGGTTTCTCGATTATGTTGATAACATTTTAACAGATCATTCGTATATATACAAAGCAAGTTTAATGAAAAACAACCGATAAGGTTTGTCCGTTTAATTTTTTTAATTACATTTATCCAATTTCCGGATGAGATGTTGACAATTGTGCTCGAATTTTCGGATAAACAGTGTGAACTGTTCATTATTTATTTTTTGTTCAAGTAATTTCGGCTTTGGCAGTCATTATCAAGAACCGTGTTTGAGTGAATTCCTTTGTCTGTAAATAACTCACCACAATGTAAATGTCCAGAGAATGCTTTAATCGCAAATTTGGGTCCTGGTTCTTAAAAACTTTTCACCATTTCTGGTAGATTTTCTAATATCACAGTGTGGAAGACCTACTTACAAAAGTGATGGAAACAAAAAGAATAAGGTTCTAAATGAATTCGGCTGATAAAAAAAAAATTCTAAACATTCATAGCATCCTTTGGTTCTGTACATGTGGAGTCCTAACAACATAAATTTAGAACAATGAAGTCCTGAAGGACGAAATGCGACACAAGTAAACTTTTTCCACTTTGTCATACATTTTCTAAATAAATGCTCTGTTTATAATAAACAGTATTAAACAACATTTTCCGGCCTGAATTTTCACAGAAAATATTCGTCCTCCGAGGACGAATATTGTCTGTGAAAATTTCTCGAACATTCAGGCCGGTAAATGTTGTTTAATACTATTTATTATAAACAAACATTTATTAAATATTTGTATCTATAAAAAGAATGTATAAACATAAAAATGTCTTTTTATATATATATATATATATATATATATATATATATATATATATATATATAAGTAACGAAAATAATGGATAATCCCAAGGAGGATGAAATCTTGAGAGCTCAATATTAAGTCAGTGCGAATAATTTAATTTAAGGATAAACAGACCACTTTAAGGCTCCATTCGTAATAATTTATTTCACCAGATAATTTTATTTTTCCCTGGAAACTTTAAAAAGTTGAAACGAAAAATGAATTTAAAATTTACACTGTTGACGGGCAGAATTAAGCATATATAATTTGACATATAATTAATACAAGTAAAAGGTTTAACACTTAACTGATTGATGTTACCGTCATCATCCCGACTCCAGAGTTTCGTAGGCGGACTCTCCGGCAATTATTCCGTCCACATGCAGTAAACAGATGCTCGCCGCTCAGTTTTGACGTCAGTGCCCCATTTTATATTTAAATACGCTATATCCTTTATTATTGAATACTTTTATCCATTAATATAGCATTCTTTAAAACTATGTTTTAGTCATATATATATATATATATATATATATATATATATATATATATATATATATATATATATATATATATATATATAAGTACCTCCACAGCTTCGTCAAAAATGAGTATTCCATGATGAAAAAACGTCAAAAACTTAATAAAAACAAATTTTTATCATCAAAACTTTTGTGTTATTATTAAGAGGAAAGACCAAATCTTGTTTTTCTTGGATTAGCCGGGGCACCACAAATGCTTCAATTGCTTCAACTCTCATTTTATGGCTGACATTGTTTGATTATGATTTAGGCTTTGTGATTTTCAAATAACAAAATGGTTAATTTCCTATTATTGTGGTAAATTTTTGTTTAGAACTAGAAAAAATGCAAAATTTTCACTATTTTTTCACATTTTACCCACTGAAAATTTTTTTTTAGTCAAATACACTAGTCAATTTTATTTTTAAATGAAAGAACCTATTGTTTTCTTTCAGAAAATACCTACTTTTATGGGGTTCAGATCAAAAGTTTCCTTGATATTTTATTCAGATGATGACAAAACAGACATTTTTCAATATTTTACCTTGTTTTACCACTATAAAAGTATAAAAATCCATTTTTTGAGAGAAAATAGGCTGTGACAAAATGACTTTTGCTATTTTTGTGATGATTTTTACCATAGCAGGCCTGAATTGACTTTAAGCTTAGGAGGGCTATATAAACCCTCAAACAGCTGTGGAGTATAGGAAAAT